CTCTCATAATAGTATAGGTTATTTTACAACACAAAACATCTGGGACTTCAGTTTCCTTGTGTGGATGCAAATTCTGTTCAAAGAAGGACTCTAATTGAAACTTTTTCAGATTAAACTCTTCTCTTTCAGTTGATGATTTGACCATTCCCATATTTTCATAATTGTCCATCGTCTTTTCGACATACTTTTTCAATTCTGCAACTACTGATTGTCTCTCCTGTTCTTGTTTCTCATATCTCCTTGCTCTCGATCTATCAACTCCTTTATAAATATTCAGCAATATAGATTTGGATGTATTATGTAATTCCTTAGCCAATACTTCAGCTTTCAAATAAGCACTCTCAGCTTGCTCATAATTCAAACAATTCAAATGACATTCTCCCAACAAGAAATAAGCCTTTACAAACTTTGGATTCAACTTGATTGCAGATTTACACTCCTCCGTAGCCTTCTCATATTGTTTTAATTTAATATAACAAAGAGCCAAGTTTGTTTTAAAGAAGGCATCTTCATCATGTTCAAAGGCTTGTTGATAACATTTAATAGCCTCCGATAATTCATTCTTTTTAAAGTGTTCATTGCCTCGTTCCTTCAACTTGGCTGCAGCCTTTTGAAAATCCATTTTTTAATATTGATGATCGCAACAGGTAAATTCTAATAACTTCCGAATCACGTTTTCTTTAAAAAAATTGGCAAAGATTTCGTGGTTCCTCGTTGGATGTATTTTTTTTCAAGTTGAGAAATTGAGGGAGGTTAAATAAGAGCACAAAAGCACAAATTAAATTGTCCGATGAGGAATTTCAATTTGTTTGAGGTTAAAGTTTCCCGCCATTTATCTCAAACGTAAATAATTTAGAAAATTTAAAAAATGGCTTAATACCTCCTCTTCTAATAAGATATTAAGCCAGGATGTCTATATTGCTATTAGTATTGTATATGATAGTTTTGTTCCGAATCTTGGGTTAGTTGCCCTTTTATAGAATTTAAATCGAAAAAGAAAATTATTTGCCAACAAATGCAACATAAAAATGTCATCACATATGCTGTTGTTGGCACTGCTTATTTTTCTTCTTGGTTTTCACACAACATTTTGTCTTGCTTGTAATCTTCGTTCATGGCAAAATGATGTCAAGGACCTGTATGGAAAATTAACTGTACAAGAGAGTAG